GTATAAAAGTTAAAATAAATGCATTATTATATCTTAATTAAAGTTACACAATGAAACAGTTAAGTTAGAGTAAGATAGTATATAATTATATACAGGGAGAAATTATATGTGGCTAGCTTGATAAGTCAGCGATTTTTTTAAAAAGTAGCTATTTTGAAAAATATGTTGAATTTTGATAAAAACAGATTAAAAAGAGTCACTGACTTATCAAGCTACTTTCTTATATATCTTTCTCTCTCGTAGGATTTTTCAAAAAATCTGATAAAGTGTCTCTAGCTAATTATACATTCTTCGGATTTTTTTTCAGAAAAAGCAATCATAAGGAAGGACAGCTGATTCTTGCCGTCCACACGACCGAAATCGACATGGCGAGGCAACAGACGGTGGATCGAAATATCCCTCACCTGCGGGACATTTTTGGCTTCGGCAGCAAATGGGATAACGCTCGTGGACAAGCTGAAGAGAAGGCACCCGGCCACGATAGCGCCGTGTCGGTAGGCTCCACATCCGGGGAGGAGGAGAGTCCAAAGAACAGCAAGAAGAAGAAGTCGCGTCGCCGTGACAACAGCAAGACGTTGACGGAGAGCGACGTGAAACACCTGGAACGGCATCTCTCTATGAAGAAGACCATACGCAAAAAAATCATGCGTGACCTGCAGCAGGCCTTCGTCGAGGATCCGAACGAGTTTCGTGTGGACGACATACCGCCAGAGCAACTCAAGGCAGAGATCAATATCCAGAGCCTGAGCTTCGGCACGCCGTCCCAGAAGCAGGGACGCACGCGTGGCAATGCTGAAAGCACGTTCCTCGACATGCTGCGTGGTGGTGGTAAGAGATCGCCTGTTTTATTAAAATTTTATTAAAGTTCATTCTTTAACACCTTTTTATTCCTTTTGACGATCATATCTTTAATGATATAATATTTTGACTATGAAAAATCAATTCTCTAATAATTGTATCAAGATAACAGTCTCCAAGGCATAATAAGATAGAAGATAATTTATTTTAACTCTAATCGGTATTCGCTCCAAAATTTCTTTAACTTTTAGATTTAGTACACTTTAAATTAATTTATTTTTGCTTAAAGCTAATGAAATTGAACGATTTCTTACTTTGAAAGTCGAAATTCAAGTAATAAGATTATAACTTAAAATTATTTAAGATTGTGAAAAATTATAAACAGTTTTTTACAACATAGTTGAAGAAAATGTTCGGGTCCATTGGAACTCGTAAATATCAATTAATTTAATATATCTCCATAAAAATTTCAAAACAAATATTTTCGTATTTAAACGTAAAAAAATACTATTTGAAACTTTTAGAATGAATTTCATTCTAAAGAATTAAATCTCATTCTTAAAGATTGAAAATTGAGCCACTCTTTTTCAAGGCTGATTCAATTTTCACTCTTTAAAATGAGATTCCAGAGAATATTTGTGGATTCCACTTTGGACTTTGCTTTGGATTTTTAATAAATCTATTTTATATAAATCTTAAGGTTTGGAGAAAAATGGGACAGATGGTGACAGAGATTCAGGACACGGTGGCTCGCCGACCAGAGAGGCGTCTAGCGCCCAGGATACGGATGATGAGTCCAGCTATGCATACGAGACGCCTACCGCGACGCCCACGAAGAAGAGCAGCAACTTCTGGAGACGCTTCACCATGAAAAATCGCAATAAACGATAAATCCGTGGCAGGAATCCCAGTGCGAAGAAAGAGAGTATCGATACTTTATATTCTCCGTCATCTCGATAATTTTTACCAGCGTATTTAACGAGGCAGAGCTTGCAACTGTGATATACATAAAACATAAAACCAATCATCTTCATCTCTCCCTCTCCCCCGAGACGATCCGTCGAATTTTAAGAGGTTCCCGAAATTCGATCCGTGTATAAGACCGAGGACCAAGTGATTTAATGTACAAATTTCGGACCAATATTTTTATTTGCTACGACATATCATCGGACATATTAATTACGGGCCTTAAAAGACAATATATCTTTTTTAAATTAAAAAATAAGGAAAATTCAGGATAAGAATTCGATTCAATAAAAATTTAATGAATGCGAAAAAAACGTACCATTTTTTTGACAAACGATAAAAATTGATGTTATTTTACATTCGAAATTTAATTTCTCGTAGCTCAATTTTAGTAAGTATTTAGATTAGCAAATATTGGAACGATAAAATAATAATTCGCACCCCTACAGTACAAAGTTGCACAAAAGTTGCAGCAACATTGCTGCAACATTGCATGTTGCAGCAATATTGCAGAAATTTTGCAGCGATATTGCTGCAAATTGTGTGCTGTATGGCTTCACCTTATTATTTGAAATGATATGAACTCACGAGTTTTGAAAAGAAAGAAAAACGAGGAAGTAGCTAGGACAAGCTATTTAGGAATCTCTCTTGTCTGAACAATTTCGCTGTACATATATACTTTTTTTGAAATATCGGAGGAACTTCTTAAAACTTTCCGACCTAAAATGTAACGATCGATGTACCCGATAATGTAATTCCCATCTTCTGACACGTACTTAAAGGCAATGTAAAAAATAAAAACGGAGGCAGCGAAATACGAATACGTATATAGTATTTAAGGGTAGTTAGTTTAATTTCTTTTAATGTAAGAATGCAGCAGTTATGGGTGATCTGTAATAAGCGTAAAAGAAGTATAATATGCGTCAGTTAGTATTAGCTAGTCAACGATAAGACGTATACCTGTGAGACCCGGTCGATTTTTTTTACTAACAAAATTTGATATCGCTTCTTTATAATGAACTCAAAAATGAAATAATTTTTTAGCTACTTTTACTACCAGTTCACGGAAATTCATAGCCTTAAGGCTTCTCATCTGAGGAACGCATGTATATGCACGTAAGGAACTTATTGGATTACGTCATTTAAGTATGACACATTGCATTTTTTTTCATTCTAACTTAAGCTATGTTGATGTTTACCGAAATCCTGTTGTTCCTACCATTTTTCGAGGTATCTCGCTAGTATTATAAATAACGTCATCCAAGCGACGTCGATAACGATTTACGTATTCTCATCTAATCTCCACTTTCTACTATAGTAATAATAATATTATAATAATTATTCCTTTTAATATTAACTGCAACGCTATATATTAGCTTTAAATGTATTATACTCGAGATCCATCTTATGTAAGAACAAAAATATACTCGAATAAAAAATCTCATTTTGATGTTGCGCTTGTTCTTGCATTAATTAATCGTGCATTATTATCGTATATTTATGCAAAAGTTTATTGCAGTATAGATGTGTATATGTCGTAACAAATATAACAGATAATATCTTATTAATATCTTATGTCTAATCTCTTAATTAACGAACATTAAGTGAAAATTTTCCCTTTTTTTACAAAGTTTCCTTAATTCTTGATAAAAAGATCTATCAATCAGTTAAAAGGCAAGACATAAAGGGTTTTCATTACAAAAATGCAGTATAAAAATATTTAAAAAAATATTCATCGATACTTGTGTCCCTTTCCTCTTGCAGATATGGATAACTTAAATCTATTGATTTGTATATCGGGGCGAACGTTTCTCCAGGAAAGCTGCCATTCCTTCCTTTCTGTCCGCCTGAAAGAAAGAAATTTCTAACTTATTAATAAATCTATTTTTTCATCGAATTTAGATTATTGATTATCACAAAAGGATTTCTCACCAGAGAGAAAGTGCTGTGAAACAATCTTTTTTCAAACAGAAGTCCCTGTTGCAATGTGGTTTCGTATGCTAAAATTAATAAATCATAATTAGATACGTTACGAATTATTGGATTACATTGAGAATTACTTAAGTAATTCTTTGTATATTCTTTTTACCAGCATTAACAGCTTCTTTGGCTATCGCCACAATCAACTGTGAGTGAGATGCGATTTTTTCGCCCAATTTCACTGCTTCTTCGACAACTTTGTCAGCTGGAAATACTTTGCTGACTAGACCTAAATAAGATTAAAAAAAATAGAACTTACTTTTTTTTACACTAATATTTTATAAAAAATATAAGTAACAGAATATTAAGATTGAAATTAATGAAAAATCGTTAAAAATAATTTAACATTAAAACTCAAATATATAAAATATATAAAAATAACTTTCAAATAGAATTTATATTTGAATTAATGAAGTAATTTAAATTCCTTCCGGTTGCAGTGTTAATGCTTTAATTTTAATTAATGCAAACTTACCGCTTTTCTCAGCTTCTTCTGCAGAAATCATATTACCAGTGAGTATCATTTCCATAGCTTTACTTTTACCGATAACCCTGGTTAATCTCTGAGTACCGCCTGCTCCGGGAATGGTGCCGATGGCAATTTCTGGTTGGCTGAATTTGGCTTTATCACCGGCGTAAATAATATCGCACATCATTGCTAATTCATTTCCTCCACCCAACTATAAAAAAGGGGGAGTATATGTTTGTTATTGAATTATTCATCTTTGTTTTCAGTATCTGTCGAAGACAATCGAAGGCATTACTTACAGCGTAACCATTTACAGCAGCAATTATGGGCTTTCTGCTTTTAGCAACTACATTCCAGTCAGCTATAAAATTTAACTTCAAATTGGATGCGTACGAGTTATCCTTCATTTCCTTGATGTCGGCACCTATGAGAATAAATTAAAATATTTTTTTTTATATT